TTTCTTATTTTTCCTTCTACCCTGAAGATGGAGGCGATACGTTCCTCCGAAACGTCGGTTAACACCACATCTACACGGTGACACAACCCAGAAGACCAGAAGACTGCTTTCATTAAGATTCCTTCTGTTCCAGTGCTGTTTGATGAAAGGTTTCGCAGTTCCGAAGTCACATTATACCCACTAATAACATTTTCTTAATTTTTGTGTTTGTATGAATACAATGCTGACGACTATGTTTTTTTTTTAGATATTATTGTGTATTAATGTAATAATAAAATATCCTTCTCGAAATCCATGACGTATAGCAAATGGCATTAAGAGCGAGTCTCCTCAGCGCTGCTCAGCCACGATGATATATAGTCGGAAGCCGGAATCGTAAAAAGCATTTTCTGACCATTTATTACTCCATGTTGACAGTAATAGTTCAAATGTGCAACATTGAGGGAGCACTAGTCATGATTCTTTCTCCACCAGTTATGGAGTTCATATGCTTTTGTCTGTGACTTACGTTGCGGTCCTTAGCAGGTTCTCTTTAGCTGGCGTTCTGGCGTCACCGGGCGGGACAAATCGCAGAGGAGAGGGAGAGAAGAATGTCTTCGTTAAATTATATGGAACTTTGTCGTCTTTGCCTAGTAAAAGAACGAGTGTCGATACCAATTTTTGAAGGAGAAGGAAATGTACGCCAGATATTTCTTAAAATAGCTTCATGCCTCCCCGTAAAGGTAAGCATCTGAAGCGTCACCCACGCCATGTCAGAAATTTATTGAATCGCCATGTTATCGACTTACTTTCAGGGATGTGATGGCCCGCACGATTTCTTTGTTTAATTGATCCATATGTTGACAGTGCAGATGTTTTGTATGTGTGCCTATGAAGTCGTTGCTTTATTTGACTTCTGAAAAGAAATTTGTTGGTCGCATTTCCCTGTCAGAAATTTAATAACGTTTCTGTTGACAAAACAGTTTTGTAGGAAATTGAGCGTTAAATGTAATTAAAGTTGCCTCATAATCAACCCAATTGTTATATACGTTAACGTAGGTCTGAGGCCCCATGTCGAATTGACTGGGCTTGGGTTGGAGTGCGGCAGGGCAAGTACGTATTTGCAGTTTTGTGTTTTGTATGATTTTCCAATCAAGGAGCCGATCAGATTGTATTAAGGAATTTATGAATCTTGTGTGGTAGACGCTAGTACGTCATACCGCGGTTAGGAATGCAGATGTAGTATAGTATATCAGCAAAAAGTTAAGGTATGTTAGATGAGCAAATAACGCAGCGTGTTACTCCACGATGCGTGGAAGAATATTGTAACGAGTGGTGTCTATTATACTGATGCTTTACAATAACGAAAAAGTTATCGTATTGCTTGTGCTTTTAGTAATAGATGTATTTACATAACTTCAAATAGCTGTCACTGCTTGTTACCATGGTACAAGGGATTAGTTAATGGCTAATGTTGATTGCATCTTTCATTCTGAGCATCACAGAAATTTTAGTCGCCTACCTTTATAGTGATAAACTGTATCGGTTCATTCCAAAGTATTTCTTTTTGAAAATCTTCCTGTAGTTTTGTGGCATGTGTTAAACACTGCCTTTTTTAGTCTTTCCAGGGCTTTGTACGTCTCTCAACACTTATGCAAATGTACTGTAGTACAACTTTGCTAGGGAATTGTACCTTTCACCATGTTTTTGTGAGCAGTTCTATGATGTTATCTCTGGACTTCTGTTATTGAGCTAATCTGTAACTACAGAAAGGTAGCAGGTGGTGTTAGTCATTATAATTGATTCTTGTATGTAACTGGGAACCTATCCACAAAGTAATACCCAATTATTGTTTGGAGTGAAGTCTGTTTTTGTGGACACTAGCTCTTCTCAGCTTTGTTATTGGAACTTTTGAGTCCTCATTTCTCTGTTGAATCCCGCTATGTATTTTTCCTCAAATGATTGTAATTTACCCATATTTCATCAAAATGAAAATAGTGTTTATCATTGGAAACACTTGGATTGTGTGTTCTTAACCGATCAGCGTGGTTTGACGTGTATGTTTCGTCAGGTATTTAAATCGTCTGCGGGGGTTCGACGTCTATGTTTCGTCCAGCTGCACACCTATGTTATAACGCCCATAATAATTGATGGTTTTGCTGTAGATTGTTAGATTTTTCGCTGGCCTGTTGTCAGAAGTTCTATATATAATGGGACACGAGTTTAGCTGCGTTAAGTCATCGTTACATATGCCTGTCTTGCAGCAAATTCGTGTTGCCCTTGGAAGAGATTTCCTCATTCAAACTGTTATGGATGGTGTGTTTTCTTTCCTATGAAGTTATAAACAGCAGAGATGTGATATGTGCTGTGTTTATAATATCATATTGCCCTGAGCTGGCCACACTAACACACTCAATTGGAATTCTTAGAAGAGGGATGTCCAAATTTTATTCTTGCAAGATCGATTGATTTCGCACAGTACATGGCAGCCAGTTCTTAGAAAAACGTCACAAATTAAGGCAGAACACTGTGGTCACCCCCTGTGACGATACGGGTGTGTGTGGGGGAGGGAAAAGAACTCATTCCTTCATGTATTATCGCTCCAGTTGACTCCATTTTATCGTACTGACCTTGGTGGTCGTTTTGAGGGATGACCATAAATATTTTTTTGAGCCAGCTAAGCTCTGCTTTCGTTCACTACATACCAGCCAGTTCTTAGAATAACTTCATGAATTCTGTGGTCACCCCTACGACATCTTATGCCGCCAAAATGGATGGAAAATGAAACGCAGAAGCACCAACACTTGTTATGATAACATAAAGGTTGAATTTACTGCAGCTAATCTGGCTAGCGATACGACTCACGGAGAGACATTTCTTCTTGTATTCCCCCCACGGGGAAGAAGGCAAGGCCGCACAGAAGATGTTTTGTTTACGGAAAAAAGAGCCAAATGAGAGATACGCAGTACTGGTGTGGTGAATGTGAGTCAGCGCTGTGTATAGTAGAATGCTTCAATGCGTACCATACTCCGCTCAAATTCTGAACCACCTGCTTCCTTTGCCGAGATACCGGGCGCTCATATTATAAGGCAAGGTTATAAAACCATCTTTTAAGATCATTTTAGTGAAAGTTTCATGCTTCAATGCGTACGATACACTGCTCAAATTCTAAACCAACTGCTTCCATTGCTGAGATACCGGGTGCTCACATTATAAGGTAAGGTTATAAAACCACCTTTTAAGATCATTTTAGTGAAAGTTTCACGTTCCTATCTCATATAATTTAAGAACAATGATGAATAAATCATTTTCGAGCAAAATTTAAATGGCCGGCTGAATATATTACCACCGGAGAGACACGGCAGCGGAATTTAAATGACCGCGCAAAAGGGCTAAAGACAACTGGAGCAGCAGTGTTGTTACACCCATCCAGCAGATTTTTTTTACTGCCATTAGTTTTTCTCTACTTAGGACCTGCATCTTTCAGTAATTGGTGAATTGATAACACAGGCACAGTATAATTAATTCTCTGGCATTGTGTAAGTGAGGTGGTTACATCGGAAACTCCTGCATAAAATTGTATAGTCCTACACAGTATAATTGTTTGTATTTGTGACATAAAAAAAAAAGTAAAGCTATCCCTGTACCAGGCCGTGAAGGCTCATAGGGTTGTGAGACGTTGAGGGTCCCACATTATCTAGACGATCGGCTCAAAGATGGTGGTAAGTTTGTCAGCCTTACTTGCCGGCCTCACTTTACTGCCAAGGAAAGTTATCTAATTACCCATCCAGCAGATTTTTTTTTACTGCCATTAGTTTTTCTCTACTTAGGACCTGCATCTTTCAGTAATTGGTGAATTGATAACACAGGCACAGTATAATTAATTCTCTGGCATTGTGTAAGTGAGGTGGTTACATCGGAAACTCCTGCATAAAATTGTATAGTCCTACACAGTATAATTGTTTGTATTTGTGACATAAAAAAAAAGTAAAGCTATCCCTGTACCAGGCCATGAAGGCTCATAGGGTTGTGAGACGTTGAGGGTCCCACATTATCTAGACGATCGGCTCAAAGATGGTGGTAAGGTTGTCAGCCTTACTTGCCGGCCTCACTTTACTGCCAAGGAAAGTTATCTAATTAGTTCCTGGTACTCATTTCTGTTAGAGGCTGAGTTGACCCCAGGGACATAGTGTGGCTGGAAGGATTAGGTCAATTGAAAAAAACCAATGAAAAACTCATGAAATTTTAATCTTTATCATCTTTCCTTATCTTGCTCTAGTCTTTAAACTATACTGGAAGAGGCCCTGGTAGACTGTACATATCTTTCCTTGGCATTAGTAATGAATGCCCTGCAGGAAACATGGCTGTGTTTTTCAAGGCTTCAGATGTGGATAAAGAGATGTGCAGCTTTAGTTTTAGGTATAGCTTTAACAGTGCAATAAATACAATTTATTTCCAGAAATATATCATTTTGGAAAATTAAGGGTGATAAAAAGTCATCATGTAGTGTACCTTGGGGTTAAATACTCTAAGGTTGATAGTAAATTAAAATGTTGGTTGCTGGGGTAGGTAGACATTGTAAGGCACTTAGGGAGATCCTTGTAAGTTGTAAGAGTTTGTGAGTTCTGACTTCTTGTGTTTTAGATTCTGTTGGCTGGTAATGCAGTTAAAATGTTTAGATTTTATGTGATCTTTCGGCAGTGGGCATTGTATGTTAGTAAGTTTAGTTGAAAATTCTGTCTTTAGTGTGTTGGGTAAATGGATTTGCCCAACATAAACATACAACACAGAGTAACACCTTTTTTAAAAACTGGCATGTAATTACTGTTCTTGATATATGTTCACTGTGCTTAACACTGTGTGTTCATATTTTATAAAAGTGTGTGTTAACAAATAACTGACTTCATGGAGCTGAGCCCTTCTTGAGAAGCCACCAGTTATGGAGCTACTCATGAACTTGCCAACATTTTATGGAACCCAAAGGTTCAATACTGTGTTCACAGGGGCCCTCCACTGGTCCCTGTCCTGAGCCAGATCATCCAAATCCGAGATCCTTTGAGACATTTTGTAATAATAATTTTATCACAAGTAGTGGTTAACCCCAAGCTGGAGGGCTACCTCTTGTGGGCTGTCCGTGACTGCTTATTCAATTTATTTGCAGTTACCCTCTACATCTGGAGGCCATCTCCATATGTGCGATACAAATATCCAGTTTAATTTAGTAAAAAGGGGTTGCAACTAGTCATTGTAAATGCAGAATACAATGATTTTTTGTATGCATGACTACAAATTTTGGAACTTCTCAGGCAGAAGAGTCTAGCAGGGCCTGCTGTGATGTGATTTACTAGGGGAACTTATAAACCTGGTGCATACACAAATTAAAATAAAACCCAGATTTTAGCAGTTTGACATGCTGACACTCTTGTAAGGATTTTCCGGTTTTCTTTTCCTAATTTGTCTATGGCATGCTGAATTATCTTTACCTTGAAGTTAGTAGCCACTTAGCTGTTGGAGGAGTCATATCTGTTGACCTTTGGTGAGACCTAATAGTGTTTGCCATGGTGTTGCCAATTTGTCATTCCACACGTATGTAGCAGCATCAGCAGTGTTAGGAAACTGATATCAGAATTGACTGCATAAGGATAGAACTGAACTATTTAATAAGAATAAGTGAATAAAATATGACCTGAACCTTTATGTGCAGATTTCTCCCCTAAGAGCAAGTGTTACCTTTTTGACTGTA